AGTTTTTGATTGAAAAAAAAAGTTCTGTAGTTTTTGGAGAACAGGTCTTCAAGCAGCCTACCAGATTCCCCATGGTTACCTATTGTATCCGGATATTAGCAGATCTATTTTTGTGTCGCCTGCTGAGCAGAGCGACATTAATGGACAACTTTACATTGTGTCTGTCTATCCACATGAATGAATTATATGGTGGTAACGAACAGTATTCAAGATCAAAAGTCCATAAAACAATACAAAATAGGAGCAGAGCTAACATGACCTACAAAACATCAGATTTGGGATCAGGTCGCAGTGAACATCCCTGCCGACCGGTCACAGCTGTGTTCCTTGTCATGATCGGGAAATAACAGAAATTCCGTCGTTAATTCAGTGTATAAATAATGGACTAACAATTAGTATGAAAAAAGTCAGTCAGTATTTGACTCAATGATGAATTGTATTTGAGGACAAGGTCATTGTATCGACCATAGAACTTACGAAATGATGGCTTTAAGCAAGATGGCTTATATTCTTGTTTCATCAACTTGTTGGTCAATAATTTACCTCGTTTTAGAAATTGTTCATACATAGAGCATGCTCTTGCCTTTTATATCAACTGAGATATATATACTCCGTATGCAGGTGATGAAGGTATATTGCTGCATAAATGAGGGGAAGTTGACGATAAAAAAGTTAAAGTCATCACGTTTAGTTGTTAGATTACCATTAATGTCGTTTTCAAGTGAATTATCCAAATATGAGACATATGTTACCATTGTTAATTGACAATAAATCGTTGATATATCTTAATGTCGAGTTGAAGGCCAAGCAAGTGTTTTCTTAATTCTTTTCACGCATAAGATTTTACACAAATTCTGTTTTATACGTATGAATACAAATATCATATCTATAATTGATTGTCAGAGTTTGCCTTAGTCCTACAATTCGTGTAGATTGTTTCTGTTTTTGCCGAGTCAAAGGTATGGACTATAATACTAGCAGCAAATAAATAATTGACCTCTCTTAGATATTGAAGCTATAAAGCAGGTGTCAAATGCGTTCATATAATTATAATGTTTATTTTTTTACTTTGTTTTTCCCTTTATAATATATATTGTACTTCAGTTTGAAGTTCAAAGTGACACAAATGCTCGATAGGTCAGGTGTTAGATTTATCCAAAAGTGTTTGTAAACATAAGGTGTGCAAGTGCAAATGTCATGATTAATAAAAAAAAAATTTTTTTTGTAAATCAAACTTTAATTAGCAATTGAGATACGTACCATATATATTGATGCACCCTACTTTACTGTGACAGATTTGGTCATCCCCACAAACACATGTTGAACTACAACCATATCCGTAGAAGTTCTCTTTGCAGGGCTTGGTACAGTTTATCCCCCATGATCCATAGCAGGCTTTTTAATAGAAAAATATTAAGAATTGTATAGTGAAACAATATGAAAAAAATCATCACCTTATTTTTACAAAATATTGTAAAAGTTAAAGAATACGTACGCCGGCACGCACCATCCACTAATAAGTAATTTGGACAACATCTCTTTAGTGTATCACTGAAAACATTTAAAATTAAAAACCTAAGTATATTATATATATAATAAGCAAAAGTAGTTAAAGGTTGATGTCAAACAATAAAAATAATCATGAAAGAAAAAATACACCGTTTATCACAAGCGCTTTCTGGATTTAATCATTCTTCAGGTGAACATACTTTGATCTCAAATATAACATACATTGTACTTACTTGCAGAACTTTGCGTTTCCTGGATACATGAAGGATAAGAACAATACCACCAGAGAAATTAACATGTTCAATAATCACTGACGTGGAATTTCTCTCTAAATGTTTATTGATATTGATAATCATTGCATTTATTTCCCCTGAACTGTCATGAATTAATACTGCTTCCTTCTTTTGATATATATTTAGCTCCATACTGTTATTTCATATATAAACAGGAAAATATTTTTAAAAATATTTTAAAGAAAAAATAGTTAACCTTCACTTTAAGGGGAAGGTTTGGGTATATTGTTGGTTACCTATTCCGTCCGTCTGTTTGTCAATTTATCTTCATTACTCAGTCTTCTCTTACAGTTTGACTGAAGCCAACTCATCATTTAAAATATGGCGGTGTTTTGCAAGGATGGGGTAATTGAAATAAGTAATTTTCACAAAAGATCGCATGGAGAGGTATATCTCTTCAATATTATTAAAAATATAATGTGTAAGGTTTTTTAGATGTGCAATAAGATTTTCGAATTTCTGTTGTATCCTGGGGGCAAATTGGGGCGAAGAATAAAAACTGCTTTCCTATTTTTTTTTTTTTTTACATTTTTTGCGGAAGTCAAATCGCCACGATGACTTAAAGTCCAGGCTTTTTTTTATATCATTGACTGCTGCTTTTTCATTAAAAATGGAACTCGTTAATTTATTTACCTTGTCATTGGTCATTTGCAAAATTATTTTGTTAAAAATATTTCGGATTGTACACACACGTATTCTGAAGTTGACATCAAATTTGGATAGTTTACTTGCAAAAGACATTAATGGTAATCTAAAAACTAAACATTATGATAAATGTGATGACTTTAAATTTTCTATCGTCAATTTCCCTTTCTTATGCAGCAATATTGCTGTATCACTTGCATAGGAAGCTATATTTCTCAGTTGATTCAATACACAAGAACATGCCTTACGTAAGAACAATTTCTAAAACGAGGTAAATTATTGACAAAAAAGTTAATGAAACAAGAATATCAGCAGTCTCATTTAAAATAATCATTTCCTAAGTTCTATGATCGATACAATGACCTTGTCAGCAAATACAGTTTATCATTGCGTCAAAAGCTAACTGACGTTTTCCATACTAGTTGTTAGTCCATTATTTATACACTGAATTGACGACAGTTTTTCTGTTATTTCCGATCATGACAAGGAGAACATGGCGGGTGTGACTGGTCGGCACTTCGCCACGGCACCTGATCCAACCTCTGATGTTTTGGAGGTCCGTGTTTGCTCTGCTCCTATTTTGTATCGTTTTATGGACTTTTGATCTGGAATACTTTTCGTTCTCTCCGTATGTTTCATCATACTTTTGAAAGATTTATGGACTTTTGATCTTGAATTTTTCTACAAACATCCCCTTCTTTTACATTAGATTATCCATATTTTGAAATATGTTTTCAAATCATACTTTTATGAAAAAGATAAAAATGGTTTTCTTTAAAAAAGTGGAATTCATATTTTGAAATATAAAAAAGTTTAGATTTTCAATTTTGAACTTTAATAATCAAAATGTGAAATATCAGTTTTATTTTATGTGTAAAAGTTGAACATAACTCACAGTGATCATATAAAATATGTACAATTTTTCTACATATATTTCTATATATTAGAGTTATTGTGACCTTCACCTGCTAATCAACTATAAAAGAGAATGTATTTAGAGTCTAGTACTTACATACCTTTCCAGGAAAAGATCTAAATAACGATTTATTTATACCGGAATTGAAAAAAGTATAGTGTATTTTGAAGGTATCGTACAAGATTTGAGACAACTCTTTCCTACAAAAGAGGAAAAGTGTCAGTCCAAAAAGGGAAAATGTGTTAGTGAATTAAATTTGATATGTGGTTTATTTGACCTAAAAGGAAACTTTTATGTTTTTTTCATAATTATACTTTTTGAGCTTACAAATTGATTGTTTTGGTTTATTGTATATTGTTTAACGTCCATCTCGAGAATATTATACATCACTTGCCGGTGAAGAGCTGCAAATTTTGTCCTATATTTGGGACCCAGGGCCATTGAGCAGGGAGGGATCTTTTTTCGTGCCAGTAGCTACTGCGACACGGGACCTCGGTTTATACGGTCTCATCTGAAGAATCGGTCTCCACGTCCCACACTGGGATTCGAACCCACGACATAAGGATCAACTCCTTACTTCGCGACTCTAAAGCAGACACTCTAACCACTGCTCTACGCAGGCGACCATACAAACTGAAAGGCATACTAGTACTGAAAATGTTATAATTCACTTCTGTGGCGCAGTGATTAAAGCTCTCTGGATTTACGGTGTAGGTTCAACTCCTACGGCCATATCTGGAAACCAGTCATTCGGATAGACCGCATAAACTAAGGTACTACGTGTCTGGTAGTTATAGCCCTCGCTGCACAACGGCTATATGTGCGTTATACATGTACTATTTTTGTAGTCTTTCATCAGCAATAAGTGCTTTTCAATATGATTGAAAATTCTCAAGGACAACCAAATTTCTGTAAAACCAAGCTTTTAATGGACAAGTGAACTACTGCTTAAGCTAACATAAAGCACAGAAGTAGATGAATTGGTTTAAGATGCATAATAAATTATTTTTTTGGGAGTCTGCCAACATTCTCTTTGAATTCCCATTGGTACCCATTGCCCCCCCCCCCCCCCCCCCCCGGTTATTATTTTTACAAATGAGAAGCAAAAATACTTGCTATAGCCTTCAACTAGAAATTTAGATATAACAACGACGTAATGTCAATTTGCAATAGCAATTTCCGTTAATGTGTCGACTTGTTGTACCATACCATTGAGCTTGAAATGAAAAATAAGAGTCTGACACTTCTGTTTCATATTTAGATATTTTACTAGTAGAAGACATAAATGGTTACTTGATAACAAAGTTTCAAATAAAACTTGATGACTTTAAAGGTGGGTGGACACAGATTTGAAGTTAATATTTTCTGTATAATATCACGACTTATATATTTAAATAGCATTTCACACAAAAATATATTAAAAACTTTATTTAATCTTAAAGTTATTGAAACTTCAAATTTTGGATGGGTTTGATTGACACATCCTTGCACTGTCACAAATTTTACTTTTATTCTTAATACTTAGGAAAGGTGGCAATCTTGTTATCCATGTGTACATGCACCTTTAACTTTTTAAACGTCAATGTCCGTTACTTATGCAGCAATATACTCTAATCACTTTCATATACGTGGTTCATGTTAGTTGATTCGATGTACAATTGCATGCTTTACCTATGAACAATTTCTAAAGCGAGGTAAGGTATTGACGAACAAGTTGATGAAACAAGAATATCAACAGTCACGTTAATTTATCATTTTATAATTTCTTTTGTCGATAGGACTACCTTGTTAACAAATATAATATACCAATGAGTTAAATTCTGACTGACATTATTCTCTGTCACAACAAGGAACGCACGCTGGGTTTGGCAGATCGGCAAAGGATGCTGATTCTTCCATGGCACCTGATCCTACCTCTCTTTGTTAGAGGTCCGTATTGGCTCTGCTCCTGGTTTTAATTGTTTTCGTTGACGTTTGAAATTGAAAGTTGTTCTCATTTTCATAAAAAATGAAATTATCAATAAATAAGCTAGTACGTATTAGCCTCTTTATCAACAAATAATGCTTGGCAGGGTCATTGGAATTTTGCGACATAAAAGATTTAGAGACATTATTTAAATACCGATACTATAAAATTCTTTTAAATTCGAGTTAATAAATTAAAAATATATATATAAATCATATGGATATGTTTAAGCTAGATAATAAAGGAGTTTGTGAACTTATATTGTTGAATATTGGCACTCTTTGGCTGTAAAAATGCACTTGCAAGCTCATGTATCTGTACGGCCAGCGCGTGTCAATATTCACCAATATAAGTTCAATAACCCTAAATTATTGAAGTTTCTACATTCTGATTTAAGAATTGTCTTTCTTCAATGTGAATGTTAAGATCTACTCATCTCTTTCCTGTCGCCCCCATCTCCAGTTTAAATGCACGAAGCACAAAAGTATGTGGATCCATGTATACAATAATTCTATTCATAAAAATTTTTATTCCTGGTTATGCCTTTTTATGTTTTGTATGCTCACAATGACTATATGCGTTCATTTGGTATTTATGTATCTTGTCTATTGTAGAGATGTTTTTCCCACAACATTCTGCATTTATCGTAAAGCAGGTACAGTGTGTCTGGAATATATAATTTGACAAAAGAAATGAAACATATGGAGATAACGAACAGTATTCAAGATCAAAAGTCCATAAAACAATACAAAATAGGAGCAAAGCGAACACGGACCTCCAAAATATCAGATAGACGATCAAGTGCCATGGAGGAGTGAGCATCCCCTGCTGACTGGTCACATCCGCCGTGTGCTTCTTGTCATGATCGGAAATCTGGCGTGAATTTAGTGTATGGATAATTGACTAACTTAGTATGAGAAACGTCAGCATTAGACTCAATAATAAATTGTATTTTTTGACAAGGTCATTGTATCGACCATAGAACTTTCGAAATCATGACTTTAAACGAGACTGCTGGTATTCTTGTTTCATCAACTTGTTTGTCAATAATTTATTTCGCTTTAGAAATTGTTCATACGTAGAAGATGCTCTTGCGTATCGAATCAACTGAGATAGATAAAACCCATTTTTTCCTCAATTTCTTGAATATTTTTCATATTTATACGCACTTATGTATTCAAAATTATGACTTCCTAATTCTTGCTCAGCGACGGTTCTGCTTATTTTAGAATGAATTTACTCATACTACATTATCAATAAGATTTTTTAAGGGAACCGACTGGGGTTTTATTGAGTAAAATTACAATAGAGAAACTCTTTATTTATATACCATAGATAAAATACATTGATCTCAGTGTATATGCCAGGTTTGGGGAAAATCTACCGTCCAGGTATTTTTAAGGGACCGTCTCAAAATACAGGTACATTTACTATAAGATTATATAGTAAAGTGCTCACTTTCTCACTTTAAAGAAAATTATACAAATACTACAAGGGACTTTTTACTCAAACTATAATATATGAGTCGTTTTTTTATTCCCTTGAAACTTTCAACAAATGCATCAAAATTTTCTAGAAGAAAGATTTCCCCAACCAACCCAATTATTTTACCCCGAGTCGGGAGAGGACACCCAAACATTATCTGAAATTTGGCCTCATCGAGAAGTAAATGTTCTGAGCCGCAGCTGATTGTTTAGTAGAATAAGACTTCTTTTCAAACTGCAGACAATTATAGACCCCAGAACTTTCACTACATCCGCTATGTTCATTTACATCTAAAGACTTCGAGTAAGTAAACTCATCTCCTCTTTCATTTTCATATTTCGCTGAAGAACTTGGGTAAGTAAACTTCTCTTCCCTTTCATTTTCATATCTCCCAGATATTTCAGAATGTGCGTGCGGAAGTGGAGAACAATACCGATATTCCGAAATTGGATCATCAGCCAGGAACGCTTCTCTTATGTCGCTGTAGGTGAGATCTTCTTGTTCATTTTGTGTTGAGCCTTTATTTTCTAAAATAGAATTTTAGTTGTACAGAACATATTTGGTAAAGAACGCAAACAAAATATAAAACAAGGCAATACGTTGAATAATGTGAATGAAATATATAAAGATAAGGAGCAGTATTCCAGTTAAAATGTCCGTTAAACAATAGAAATCAGGAGCAGAGCAAACAGGACCACTATACCATCAAAGGTGGGATCAGATGCCATGGAGGAGTAAGCATCCCATTCCAACCGATCACACCCATTGTGTACTCCTTTTCATAAGCAGGAATTCATGAAAAATAAAAATATGCAAGCAATAAATAGTTATTTTTTTCAAAGCATTACTCAATTTATTTGCACACGCCATTTCATTTTTAGACAACATATATATTTTAAAAATACCATATAAGCAGAAAATTAAGTGGATTCAATTTGGACATTTTTACTGAGAATTTTGAAATCAAACATCGCTAGACGTTTATTCCCCCCACATAAAAGATAACTCATAACTTTTAAGGCATCGCAGAATTGTTAAAAGTACTTATCGCTAAATTTTGATGCTGATTTTAAAAGGAAAAATCGACGTTTTACCTTTAAAAGTCGTGTAAACAACTGAATTTATAACACGAAGGGTTTTGTGATAAACCTTTGTTGACATACCGTGTAAGTTTAAGTTTTAGCAAAGCGCAAATTTGGTGATAAGTACCCTCAATATTGTAATTAATTTTAGCGAGATGTAATTTTGGCGATTTTATAGTATCATGAAAGAAAACTGTAACAACTGATACGGATATTTAAGTTTAGCGGTTCAAATCCCTCGCCAGTAATGTCAAAATTGAACCCTCACTGAAAGCTGTGTTTATACGGTTTAATACCTGTCGCGAAAGGTTCAACTGGTTTCATAATCTGCCCCCTAGAAATGTAGAATTAAAATTTTCAAACATGCATCGATGCATATGTTTTTGAAAATCCCATTTCATATTAAAATAAAATGCAAATATTGTATAACAACAAGACTTACGATTTCTGTTTTATGTACAGTAGTGTCCCAAATACAATCACTGTTAAAACAACACAAACCACAGATATGGTGATTCTGGATAAATCTTTAATTGCACCCGTCTTCTTATGGGTATTTGTTTGACTACCTAAATTAAAAATATTAAAAAATGAAATAAGTACTAGTATAGCTTCAAAATACTACATATAAAAAATATTGTAAAAAAATGGAACCAGATACCCTCATGATGTCATTTTAGCATTTTAGAATAAATACACGAATCTTAATATCATTGTATCATAAATTTATTAGGTAACATCTTGTCTGGAATTAAAAATTTATCATACGTATGACATGCTCTGGCGCATCGAATCAAATTGGAATCATGAGTTATTTTCAGATGCCAGTGGTATATTTTCTAAATGGAATATGGAGATATTGTAAAACGATGAAGATGAATTATCCACGGAAACAATACAAATGGGGAACAGAGCAAACACGATCCCATGAACACGTAGAAATGGAATCAGATACCACGTAGGAGTAAGCCTTTCGACAGATCCCCAGCTTTGCATTTCTTTTCATGATCGGGAAAATATTAAATTAAGGGGGCCGACTATAGTTTTATTGTGTGAAAACTACAATAGCGAAACTCTTCATTTTTATACCATATATAACTTACATTAACTTCAGTGTACATGCAAAGTTTGGGGGAAATCTACCGTCCAGATATTTTTGAGGGACCGTCTCAAAATACAGGTACATTTCTATAGGATTATATAGGAAAATACCAATTTTTAGCACTTTAAAGTAAATAATACAAATACTACAATAGAAATTTTGTTCAAACTGTAATATTTGATGAATAATACTATATTATACAATATATGTAAGAAACACAAAATTCTACCGTCTTGTTACCAGAGAGGGCATCTCAAAATGCAAAAAATTAGCAAATTTTACTATTTTTATAGTGTATTACAAAATATGACATACACAATGGATTCACATGAAAACATAATAAACATATTGGAGATATTCTCAAATTTCTATGTTTTAAATTTCAAGAGCCTATGTTTATTACTTTTTCTTTAATAATATTATTATCACCCCTTTCTTTAAGAGCTACAGATTATCATAACGTCAAAAACACACTGCAACGACGTCAACCTACCTATCAATTGCAAAATCGGTTGAAAAATCAATTATATCAAAGTGTAAGTACATTTTTATACCTATGATTTCTTAATTTTGTTTAATTTTAATAATTAAGCGAAAAAAGTTGCATGAAAACAGTAAATACGCTTCATTTTACTATGATGCGCGAAATATTGCGCAATGGAAACTATAGTCGGCCCCCTTAAATTATAATTTAAAGAGTTATCCTTCCCGGCTGAGGATCGGAGTACCTTAATGAATACTCCATTTTGTCGGTGGTTACAAACATTTTCAAAAGGAAAAATAAAATATTGCTAAAAATACCAAAAATTCCTAAAAATTCATATGGCACATTTTTCGGGGATAAGTGGACACGAAAAAAAATTCAAAGAGGAATTTTTCACAAAAATTCGCAAGAAACTAGATCTACATATATTTTAAAAAAAGATCATGAAAATCACAAGATGATAGGCATAACTTAATACTAAACATTTCTTATAATTAATGGTATAAAAAACCAGAAACATATTGTTTATAAACAGGAAATAATTCCCTTCAGCTCAGTTGTACCACGGTGTATCTCTGTTATAATTATGCTGTTAATTATCATTAATTCCTGATATTCCTTTTTACATTTCTCTGTCTTACATACAGAAACTCCGACGGGAAATATGTAGATTTTGAAACTCTGATAATCATATTTACATTATTTTTTTAAGGATGCATTGGGGCATGAGCTACATGCTAAGGACTTGAATATAACGCTACACTGCAAAGAATAGGTTGAACAACATGTTTGATATATATAAAGCACGTAGCAGTGAAAAATAAAGAAAAAAAATTGACAATATTATAAAAGCTTCCCTTTCAAAAAATCATTTAAACGTGCTTGAACTTAAACTTTGTCCCCATTAGAATATTTTGTGTTGTCAACTTATTCTCCAGTAATAGCAATAATCAAAATAAATTGACCCACCTTGTCCAGGGACCTATATACTACTTAGTATATAGCTCCCTGCCTTGTCATTGAACATTTTTTGCAAATATTTTGTTAAACATCCTGTTAAATACACACAAATGATACAAATGCTTTAAGGTTGATCCTAACAATGTTTCTGATTGAAAAAAAAGTTGGCTTATTGGTAACCTATTGTATCCGGATATTAGCAGATCTATTTTTGTGTCGCCTGCTGAGCAGAACGACATTAATGGACAATTTTACCTTGTGTCTGTCTATCCACATGAATGAATTATATGATGATAACGAACAGTATTCAAGATCAAAAGTCCATAAAACAATACAAAATAGGAGCAGAGCTAACATGACCTACAAAACATCAGATTTGGGATCAGGTCGCAGTGAACATCCCTGCCGACCGGTCACAGCGCCGTGTGCTCCTTGTCATGATCGGGAAATAACAGAAATTCCGTCGTTAATTCAGTGTATAAATAATGGACTAACAATTAGTATGAAAAATGTCAGTCAGTATTTGACTCATGATAAATTGTATTTGAGGACAAGGTCATTGTATCGACCATAGAACTTAGAAATGATGGCTTTAAACAAGAGGCCAGATATTCTTGTTTCATCAACTTGTTGATCAATAATTTACCTCGTTTTAGAAATTGTTTATACATAGAGCATGCTCTTGCCTTTTAAATCAACTGAGATATTTAAACTCCGTATGCAGGTGAGGAAGGTATATTGCTGCATAAGTAATGGAAGTTGACGATAGAAAAGTTAAAGTCATCACGTTTATCGTAGAGCGTGGTTGCTAGATTACCCTTAATGTCGTTTTCAAATGAATTTTCCAAATATGAGACATATGTTACCATTGTTAATTGACAATAAATCGTTGATATATCTAAATGTCGAGTTGAAGGCCACAGCAAGTGTTTTCTTAATTCTTTTCACGCATAAGATTTTACACAAATTCTGTTTCATACGTATGAATACAAAAATCATATCTGTAATTGATTGTCAAATTTTGCCTTAGTCTTACAATTCGTGTAGATTGTTTTTGTTTTTGCCGAGTCAAAGGTATGGACTGTAATTCTAGCAGTTAATAAATAACTGACTATTGAAGCTATAAAGCAGGTGTCAAATACGTTCATATAATTATAATGTTTATTTATGTCTTCTAATGCTTATAGGCAAGATCACCGCAGCTTGTTTTTTGCAAATTTTGTACAAGTCAAATAAAACACATTTACAGAGATGAATAATGTCATTTATTAAAATGACGATATAAATGTGAACAATTTAACAAACAAGAAGGGGGATCAGATTCACAAGCTTTGCTTATCAGTTACGTAAAATATGATAATGTCTGATCCCCAAAACTGACTAGAAAAAAGTATCTGTAAGACAAGACAGTCAAAACATCATATTAAAAAGTTAGCAAATAGATGGCACATCAAAATAAAATAGGCAAACATTACAAGAAAAAGTTGGCAAAAAGATGGTACATCAAAGACACAATCAAAACCTCAGAAGAAAAAGTTTGCAAAAAGATCATAATCAAAACCAAATACATGAAAGCGTAAAACAATCGAGTAAAAACTATAATATATTATAAATTTTACATGACACATTAATGATCATATTAAGGGATAGGAATGTTGGGGTGGAGGTGGGTCTTCAAAATAGACGTGCTTCATGTTAGCGGTGGTGAGCGCGCGAGTGCGAATGACTCGCTGAGCTGACCACGTGACCTTACACATTCCATTACAATTAGGCAAGGCGTGGATCTGAGAATTTTCACAATTTACCAACGTAAATGTTCCGAAAACCTCCAAACAAATTATCGCATTAAATACATAAATACAATTATTATTCTAATAATTGATGTTTTATGTCTTCTAATGCTTATAGGCAAGATCACCGCAGCTTGTTTTTGCTAATTTTGTAAAAGTCAAATAAAACACTTTGATGTTGATGAAAAATGTCATTTATTAAAATGACGGTATAAATGTGAACAATTTAACAAACAAGAAGGGGGATCAGATTCACAAGCTTTGCTTATCAGTTACGTAAAATATGATAATGTCTGATCCCCAAAACTGACTAGAAAAAAGTATCTGTAAGACAAGACAATCAAAACATCATATTAAAAAGTTAGCAAATAGATGGCACATCAAAATAAAATAGGCCACAAGATGTGATATGCAGGTCACATCCATGTAAGATGTGACATGCAAATCACATCCGTGCCATCCAAGGTGAGCTTGCACACATCAAATCTATATGAAGGCAGTTAATCACTGGCCTCTCCAAACATCTTAAAGTAATGAAATGAAAAACAGAAATCTACCTTTCATTAATTATTTCATTACCAGTTATCACTAAAATGTAGTTACATGTAAAATAATGGAGGAAATACCGGTATTAATAAAATATCCGAGCAATGTTAATAAATAACAATATTGAGTAATACATGTAAGTATGGAAGAAAACTAATTTCAGAGAAAATGACATATCGAAAACTATTGTTTATTGAGCCAGCAAGTAAGCAAAGTCAGACGAGGAGTATTTAGATATCCAAAAGCAGTTATTCACTGACCTGTCAATGTGGGAATGAACATGTTCCTTACGGTATTTTTAATTGTAAGAGTAGAACAAAACAGCAGTTAAATCACTGACCTGTATTTAAACTACATCCTAATATTTAACTATTTATCATGAATAGAACAAAACAGCAGTTAAATCACTGACCTGTATTTACACTACACACTTAGTGAGTATCAAACTATTTATCGTGAGTATAACAAAACAGCAGTTAAATCGCTGACCTGCATTTAAATTACATCCTAATATCTTACTTATTTTCACGAGTAGAACAAAACAGCAGTTAAATCACTGACCTGTATTTAAACTACATTACAGTATCTAATTATTTATCATGAATAGAACAGAAATGAAGTTAAACACCGACTCGCAATTAAACTACATTCTAGAATCGAACTAATGGGGGTAGAACAAACACAGCAATTAAATGCTAGATTATTATTATGATTATTTTTATTCATTTATATTTATTTATTTTTTATTCATTTTTTTTTTTAAGTGGAACAAAACAATAATTAACATTGACTAATTTTTGATCTTCGGACCTATATTGTAGCTCTCTCCATTTGAGATCAAGGTACAGTTAAATTACTGTACATACTTTAGTTCCACAAAACAGGTATAATAAATTGATATTCAGATAATTATGAAGATTGAAGAAGAATCATGCGGAGAGTGCTCATGAGTAGGACACACGGTCAGATATAATTCTACTTATTACAACCTTGAATTATTTAACTTTATATCTATGCGAGTGTTTATTTTATGTATTTATTTATTTATTTTATTTTTTTTTTTTTTATTTTAAACCAGTTTTAAGAGTATCTTCCAAATTGTAATTTTTTTTTTTTAAAAAAAACTTGTATCAGAAATTCAACAAATATAAACAACCCCAAAATATTTGCATAACGGCCCTTTCTCTTGGAACTGTCGGACCCAAAAGGTTGTATCCATTAATTCCATAAAGTATGCCCTTTTCATGGAGGAATCTACCTTACTTCTATTCCAAAAAGTATAAAGAAGTTTTACATGATGAAAGTTAATTCATTATGTTCCTAAGCGTTTTGAATAGAGTGTAACATTCCTAGATTATACTAAATTCACCATGTATATTGTGTCAATTGAAAAGTTGGTTCTAAAGTTCAGAATTTATTGTAAGTCAAAAAATCTAAATTTCACAAGTAATTAATTTGGAACAAATTTCGTAGATAGAATACAAAACTGTATAACACAGTAATATTCCTAGATTGCCTTCCTTACAAAACTCACAAATCGGTTCTTTGACAACTCTGCCTACTTTCAAACTGACCGGCCAATTAAAATCAAGGATAGAAAATTACATGAGCATAGGGAATCCGTAAGACATTAATTTATCACACTGAAATTAGGTAGAGCTAAGCATAGCAAATTCAAAGAACGCAATCCTAGGATCTAACCATAAATTTGATAACAAGAATGAGTTAATCACATTGCTATCGTCAGACAGGGAAGAGATGTCAAGAATGAAATACTGCCACCATGTGCAAAAATGCCCTTCCTAAACATCAAAAGAAAACGATTATCTTTCAACTACATATGTCAAACAAGACTGAAAATTAATAGCACATTTATATAAATAAATGATTGAGAAAAATTTTACATGGGGTTAATTAAGGCAAATAAATATTTAAAGATAAAGACCGCAGAAACGTACAATGTACAACATGAGCTAGTAAAACAAAACAGTGTCTTTCATTATGCTGTCTATTAGAAACAATTTAAAATAATTCATTTTAATTATCATTATTATTATTATTATTATTATTGTATTCTAGCCTGACAATGCTTAATTTCCGAACAGGGACATAAATTGAAAATCCTTTCATTCAATGTACTGACCTTGCATGGGGTCTGTACTAATTTATAAAAATAAATTAATCCTATATTTACTAGCCATATAGGGAACTTATTTGAAATATTATGGAGGGAGGGATCTTCGTATATTATTTACTTGCTGACTCGCCTGTAAATGTTTTATTCGAAACCAAATTGAATGCTCTAGCTGGTATGGATGCTTCTTGAACCAACGGTAGTGGATATCCTGATTACCCGGCTGATTCGGGGCACACCTGTAGCAACACTGCAAGCAGTTTAGCTTGCAAACATATGGATCTTATACCGGCTGATAGCATGAAAGTTGTTGGTAAAGTCAAAATGTATTTAGAAAACACTAGTGGACGGGCTGGTTTAGGACATTATCCATCGGCGGTGCGGATCTTATGCAATTTGTTAGATAGAACCGCTCGCTGAGTCAATATTTGGTAAACAGTTCAAACCTGTGTCATTAACATTCATGGCATCCGGCACAATTCTGCTAGGCTCTCTGGGCTATTAACAGTTAAAGCTACGCTTCCTCTTCACTCCGGCTGCTAGGATGTAGCAAATTTGCACACTGGCAAATTAATCAAAAGGCATCTGCAACTTAAACATGAAAATTATATGAATACTTTTAAGTCTAAGGTGTCATTTAAAGAAAGGACGCCAAAATCCAACAAATGAGGTGTAAACAAAGTGATACATCATGTACATTATCATGCTCATAGAAACACTAGAAAGAGTAAATTTCCTCCTGAAGACTAACCGTTATAGCAAATAGATATTGTATTACAATCATACTGATAATAATCGATTAATTCTCTGCTGAGAGGATTCGCTTTGACGAAATTATACATATTCCATGATTCTACCAATTTTTCAAATAACAAATTAAAGAAATGTCGATAAATCAGAATAAATATGTTAACTCCATTACAAAAGAATAAAATGTCACATGTATAGGATATACCACTATTTGTAACACGTACTTTGAAGCAACTAAGAAGTATTGTGATACTCTTTTGTACTTTGTTTTTCCCTTTATAATATATATTATACTTCAGTTTGAAGTTCAAAGTGACACTTATGCTTGATAGGTCAGATGTTAGATTAATCTAAAAATGTTTGTAAACATAAGGTGTACAAGTACAAATGTCATGATTAATAAAAAATATTTTTTGTAAATCAAACATTAAATAGCAATTGAGATACGTACCATATATATTGATGCACCCTACTTTACTGTGACAGATCTGGTCATCCCCACAAACACATGTTGAACTACAACCATATCCGTAGAAGTTCTCTTTGCAGGGCATGGTACAGTTTATCCCCCATGATCCAATGCAGGCTTTGAAAAATATTAAGAATTGTATTGTGAAACAATATGGAAAAAATTAATCACCTTATTTTTACAAAATATTGTAAAAGTTAAAGAATACGTACGCCGACACGCACCATCCACCAATAAGTAATTTGCACAACATCTCTTTAGAGTATCACTGAAAACATTTAAAATTAAAAACCTAAGTATATTATATATATAATAAGCAAAAGTAATTAAAGGTTGATGTCAAACAATAAAAATAATCATAAAAGAAAAAAATACACCGTTTATCACAAGCGCTTTTTGGATTTAATCATTCTTCAGGTGAACATACTTTGATCTCAAATATAACATACATTGTACTTACTTGCAGAACTTTGCTTTTCCTGGATACATGACAGATAAGAACAATACCACCAGAGAAATTAACATGTTCAATAATCACTGACGTGGAATTTCTCTCTAAATGTTTATTGATATTGATAATCATTGCATTTATTTCCCCTGAACTGTCATGAATTAATACCGCTTCCTTCTTTTGATATATATTTAGCTCCAGACTGTTATTTTATTAATAAACAGGAAAATGTTATCAGAACCAGTTTTTAAAAATATTTTAAAGAAAAAAATAGTTAACCTTCACTTTAAGGGGAATGTTTGTGTATAATGTTGTTTACCTATTCCGTCCGTCTGTCTGTCACTTTACCTTCGTTACTCAGTCTTCTCTTACAGTTTTGACTGAAGCCAACTCATTATTTAAAATATGGCTTTGCTTTGCGAGGATGGGGTAATTGAAATAAGTAATTTTCACAAAAGATCGCATGAAGAGGTATAATTATCTCTTCAATAGTATTAAAAATAAAACGTGTAATGTATTGTAGATGTGCAATAAGATTTTCGAATTTCTATTTGCATCCTGGGGCAAACTGGGTTGAAGAATAAAAACTGATTTCCTAATCCCGTTTTACATTTTTTGCGGAAGTCAAATCGCCATGATAAATTAAGTTCATACGCAATGTAGTTTGAACTTTATTGGGTTCTTTCCTGGAATTGAAGAGTTCCACTAAATGAAGGACCCGTGTGCAATACCTTTAATGTCCATATATGGATTTTTACACCTCTTCTAAAACAATTTTTGATGAAAGAAAATCTGGAATTTATGTTTTGTAATTTTTTGTGCATTTTTCTTTGAATAATGCAAAAATTTCCACATTTTGATATCTTTTCAGAACCCCTGGTAATGCATGCTGATTTTTTGTCTAAGAACATTTAATGTTATTGTAAGTTTAAATTTAGAATATCTTGAAAAATTATCAGTAGGTGATGTACGTTGCGTATGTCCTTCAAGTCCAGGCTTTTTTTGATTGGGACGAGTAAGAGGTAAAAATGAAGTTTTCTTTTAAAAAGGGAGCCCAATGGAATTCATATTTGAAAAAATATAAAAAAGTTTAGATTTTCAATTTTAGGCGAAGGGGGGTGGGGGTAATATTAAAAATATGAAGGTTTCTGAACATTAATGACCAGAGATTACAGCTGATGACTTTATTTTATGTGTTAAAGGTGAAAATAAGACACAATGATCATATAAAATATGTACACAAGAAGCCTATGGGTTCATGACCCATAGGCCTACCTGAAGATATTCTTAATTTGATACGTATATATTAGAGTTATTGTGACCTTCACTTTTTAATCAAATATAAAAGAGAATGTATTTAGAGGCAAGTACTTACACACCTTTCCTGGAAAAGATCTAGATAACGATTTATTTATACCGGAATTGAAAAAATGTATAGTGTATTTCGAGGGTATCTTCACAAGATTTGAGACAACTCTTCCCTACAAAAGAGGAAATGTGGCAGTCCAAAAAGGGAAAATGTGTTTATGAATTAAATTTGGTATGTGGTTAAGTTTGATCTAAAAGGAAACTGTTTTTTTTCTTCTCATAATTATACTTTTTGAGCATACAAATTGATTGTTTTGATTTATTGTAGATTGTTTAACTCCCTCTCGAGAATATAATAATTTTTCACTCATATGTAGACGTCATCACTTGCCGGTGGAGAGCTGCAAATTTTGTCCTATACTCGCCACTCAGGGCCATGGAGCAGGGAAGGATCTTTTTCGTGCCAGCACCTACTGCGACACGGGACCTCAGTTTATACGGTCTCATCTGAAAGATCGGTCTCCATGTCCCACAGTGGGATTCACACCCGCGACATAAGGATCAACTCCTTACTTCGCGACTCTAGAGCAGACGCACTGCTCTACGCGGGCGACCATAAAAATTGAAAGGTATAATACTAGTACTTAAAATGTTATAATTCACTTCTGTGGCGCAGTGATTAAAGTTCTCTGGATTTACGGTGTAGGTTCAAATCCAACTGTCATTTCTGGAAATCAGTCATTCAGATAGACAGCATAAACTAAGGTTCAAAGTGTATGGTTATAGCCCTCGCTGCACAACAACCATATATGCTTTATACATGTACTATTTTTGTAGCCTTTCATCAACAATTAGTGCTTTGCAATATGATTGAAAATTCTCAACGACAACAAAATTTCTGTAGAACCAAGCTTTTAAAGGACTGGTGAACTACCGCTGACGCTAACATAAAGCACAGAAGTAGATGGATTGGTTTAAGATGCATAATAGATTATTTTTTTGGAGACAGTCTGTCAACAGTTTCTTTGAATTCCCACTGGTACCAATTGCCCCCCCCTCCCCCGTTATTATTTTTACAAATGAGAAGAAAAAATACTTGCTATAACCTTCAACTAGAAATGTAGATATATCGACGACGTAATATCAATTTCCAATAGCGATTTCCGTTAATATGTCGACTTGTTTCATACCAGTGAGCTTGAAATGAAAAAATAAGAATCTGACACTTCTGTTTCATATATAGATATTTTATAAAAAGACATAAATGGTTACTTGACGACAAAGTTTTAAATTATACTTGATGACTTTAAAGGTGGGTGGACACAGATTTGAAGTTAATATTTTCTGTATGATATCACGATTTATATATTTTAATAGCATTTCATACAAAAGAATATTGAAAAGTTTATTTAATCTTCAAGTTATTGAAACTTCAAATTTTTTGGTGGATTTGATTGACACATCCTTGCACTGTCACAAAATTTAATTTTACTTTTATTCTTAATACTTTGGAAAAATGGCAATCTTGTTATCCATGTGTCCATGCACCTTTAAATTTTTAATCGTCAATGTCCGTTACTTATGCAGCAATATACTCTTATCACCTTCATATACATGGTGCATATCAGTTGATTCGATTTACAGATGCATGCTCTACCATTGAACAATTTCTAAAGCGAGGTAAGATATTGACGAACAAGTTGATGAAACAAGAATTTCAACAATCACGTTAATTTATCATTTTATAATTTCTTTTGTCGATGCAACTACCTTGTTAACAAATATAATATATTGCAACGAGTTAAACGCTGACTGACATCATTCTCTGTCAAAACAAGGAGCGCACGCTGGGTTTGGCAGATCGGCAAAGGATGCTTATTCTTCCATAGTGTTAGAGGTCCGTGTTGGCTCTGCTCCTGATTTTTATTGTTTTAATTGACGTTTGAAATTGAAAGTTGTTCTTTTTTCCATAAAATATGAAATTATTAATGAAGAATTTAATACGCATTAGCCTCTACAAAACCCCAGTGAGCAATAAAAAAAAATGCTTGGTAGGGTCATTGGAATTTTGCATTATTTAACAACTTAAATATCGATACTACAAAATTCTTTTAAAAACGAGTTGATTAATTTAAAAAATATATAATAAATCATATGAATATGTTTTAGCTAGATAATAAAGGAGTTACTGAACTTATATTGGTGAATATTGGCACTCGTTGGCTGTACAAATGCCCTTGCAAGCCCATGTATTTGTTAAGAAAGCGCGTGCCAATATTAACCATTATAAGTTCAATAACCGTATATTACTGAAGTTTTTACATTCTGATATAAGAATTGTCTTTGTTCAACGTGAATGTTCAGATCTACTCACTTCTTTCCTGTCGCCCCAATCTCCAGTTTAAATGCACAAAGCACAAAACTATGTGGATCCATGTATACATAATTTTATTTTTTAGATTTTGTAGTCCTGGTTATGCCTTTTTATGTTGTGTATGCTCACAATGACTACATGCGTTCATCTGGTATTTGTTTATCTTGTATATCGTAGAGATGTTTTCCCACAACATTCTGTATCTATTGTAAAACAGATACAGTGTACATGGAATGTATAATTTAACAAAAGGAAATGAAACATATGATGAACGAACAGTATTCAAGATCAAAAGTCCATAAAACAATGCTAATAGGAGGAGAGCAAACACGGACCTCCAAAACATCAGAGATAGGATCAGGTGCCATCGAGGAGTGAGCATATCCTGCTGACTGGTCACACCCACCGTGTGCTTTTTGTCATGATCGGAAATAACAGAAAAATCCGTCGTCAATTCGGTGTATAGATGATTGACAAACAATTAGTATGAAAAGCGTTAGTCAGCATTTGACTCAATGAAAAATTGTATTTGCTGACAAGGTCATTGTATCGACCATAGAACTCACGAAAAATGACTTTAAACGAGACTGCTGGTATTCTTATTTCATCAACTTGTTTGTCAATAATTTATTTCGCTTTAGAAATTGTTCATAAGTAGAGGATTCTCTTGCGTATCGAATCAACTGAGATATATAAAACTCATTTTCTCCTAAATTTCTTAAACATTTTTCATATTTATACGCACCTACTTATTCAAAATTAGGACTTCCTAATTATTGCTAAGCGGCTGTTCTACTTAATTAAGAATGAATTTCCTTATTCTACATTCAATAAGATTTTTTTTAAGGGAGCCGACTGGTGTTTTATTGAGTGAAAACTACAATATAGAAACTTTATTTTTATACTATATATAATATACATTGATCTCAGTGTATATGCCAAGTTTGGGGAAAATCTACCGTCCAGGTATTTTTAAGGGACCTTCTCAAAAACAAGTACATTTACTATAAGATTATATAGTAAAGTGCTCACTTTCTCACTTTAAAGGAAATAATACAAATACTGCGATAGACTTTTTACTCAAACTATAATATATGAGTCGGTTTTTTTTTATTCCCTTTAAACTGTCAACAAATATGTTAAATTTTCTAGAAGAAAGATTTCCCCACCAACCCAATTTTTTACCCTGAGTCGGGAGAGAACACGCAAACATTATCTGAAATTTGACCTCATCGAGAAGTAAACGTTCTGAGCCGCAGCTGATTGTGCTGTTGAAGGAGACTTCTTTTCAAATTTTAGACAGTTATAGATTCCAGAACTTTCACTACATCCGCTATATTCATTTACTTCTAAAGAACTCGGGTAAGTAAACTCCTCTCCCCTTTCATTTTCATATTTCGCTGAAGAAATCGAGTAAGTAAACTTCTCTTCCCTTTCATTTTCATATCTCGCTGAAGAACTCGAGTAAGTAAACTTTTCTTCCCTTTCATTTTCATATCTGGCTGGTATTTCAGAATGTGCGTGTGGAAGTGGAGAACAATACAGATATTCCGAAATTGGATCACCAGGCAGGAACGATTCTCTTATGTCGCTGTAGGTGAGATCCTCTTGTTCATTTTGTATTGAGTCTTTATTTTCTATAATAAAAACATAGCTGTACAGAACATATTTGGTTTAGTGTGCAAAAAAGTATAAAACAAGACAATGCGTTCAATAATGTAAATGTAATATATGAAGATGACGGGCAGTATTCAAGTTCAAATGTCCATTAAACAATACAAATCAGGAGCAGCGCAAACACGACAGCTATACCATTAAAGGTGGGATTAGGTGCCATGGAAGAGTAAGCACCCCCTGCCAACCGATCACACCCACTGTGTGCTCCTTTTCATAAGCAGGAATTCATGAAAAATAAATAAAAATATACAAGCAGTTAATTATTATTTTTTGAAAGCATTGCTCCATTTATTTCCACACGCCATTTCATTTTTAGACTTTATTTTAAAAATACCAAAAAATAGCAGAAAATTAAGTGGATTCGTTTTGGGCATTTTTACTGAGGATGTTGAAAGTAAACATCGCTAACAGTTTATTACTCCACATAAAAGACAACACCTTACTTTGAAGGCATCGCAAAATTGTTAAAAATGCTTATCGCTAAATTTCAATGTTTATTTTATAAGGAAAAATCGACGCTTTACATTCAAAAGGTGTGTAACAACTGAATTTATAACACGAAGGACTTTGTGATAAGCCTTTGTTGACATACCGAATAATTTAAGTTTTAGCAAAGCTCAAATTTGGCGATTAGTACCTCAATATTGTAATAAATTTTAGTGAGATGCAATTTTGGCGATTTTAAAGTATCAAGAAAGATGACTATAACAATTGATACAGAATAAAGTTTTATCGACATTCAATTTTAGCGCGATTCAAATCCCTCGCTAATAATGTCCAAATTGAATCCTCACTGAAAGCTGTGTTTATACTATTTAATACCTGTCGCCAAAGGTTCAACTGGTTTCCTAATCTGTCCCCTAGAAATGTGGAATTATATTTTTCATTGACGTTTTTGAAAATCCCATTTCATTTTAAAATAAAATGCAAATATTGTATAAAAACAAGACTTACGATTTCTGTTTTATGTACAGTAGTGACCCAAATACAATCACAGTTAAAACAACACAAACCACAGATATGGTGATTCCGGATATATCTTCAATTGCACTCGTCCTCTTATGGATATTTGTTTGATTATCTATATTGAATTTATTAAAAAAGAAATAAGTACTAATATGGCTTCAAAATATTATAATAGATTAAAGTAGATGATTGAAAAATTATTGTAGAAAATGGCACCAGATACCCTCATGATGCCATTCTATCATTAATAGAATATATATACGAATCTTATTATCCGTGTATCATGAACGTATTTCTTGTCTGGGATTAGAAATTGATCGTATGTATTACAAGCTCTGGCGCATCGAATCATTTGGAAGCATGAGTTTTATTTGCAAATGCCAATGGTATATTTTCTACATGGAATATGGAGATATTGTAAAACGATTAAGATGAATTGTCCACTGAAACAATACAAATAGGGAACAGAAGCAAACACGATCCATGAACACTTAGAAATGGGATCAGATACCATGTAGGAGTGAGCCTTTCGACAGATCCCCCGCCTTGCATTTCTTTTCAAGATCGGGAAAACGAACATTTCCGTAGTCAAATTGATAACTTGACAATTCATATGAAAAACGTATTTATAGCATTTGACTTAATGATGTTCTGTATTTGCTATAAGGGTAAATTTATTATTACTTAAAATGTTGACTTAAAACAAGACGCATGATATTATTGTTTCATTACTTTGTCAATAGTTTGTCTGTTTTGAGAAAGTGTTCCGACAAAGAGCATGCCCTTGTGCTTGATTATCGAATCAACTAGGACACATAACTTCTTTGTAAATATAAGGCCATATTGGTACATGGACAATGTTTATCAAAAATTTAAATCATCACGTTTATCACAAAGATTTGTTGTTAAATTACGCTTAACAACCTTTTCTAAAAAGTGTGCCTAACTCTGTGGTATCTTTTATTTCATATTCACTGGGCATAATAGCGTCGACATATGAACAGAAGCAACTATCTTCAATTGAAAGTAAGGAAAGGTGACGATTGATAAGTAAACGATCATGAAATAACTGGAACCACATAGACCTGCTCAGCAGAGCAAACGTTTGCGAGCGCTCGCCAAAATTCGCCTTACCTCCAACAGATATGTTTGCGATTTCCATAACCTTCAAAATGAAACTACAATCTTGCCCGCAATTCATCATTATGTTTTGATGAATTTTTAAAGCTTTAACAGAGCTGCAAATATCTTTCTATAGTAAACAGAAGAGGGAGATTCCGTTGTACTTTTTTTTAAATATCTCATATCTCATTATATGCGTGATACTAGTATAAATCGAAGAATAAAAATAAATAGTGTTAGTTTATAAAATGAAGTCGAAATATAAAAAAGTCGATGTTTTGCTAATATGTTAGTTGAATGTACCTTTCATTCATATTGAGACGCTACCGCTTGTTGGTGGAGTGCTGATTTTTTTACCAATAATCAGCAATTAATGTATTAACATTGAGGGATGTTTTACATATCAGCAATGGCTGCAAAACAGGACTCAGGTTTATAAATATGGTCTAAAATGTCCAATGCAAGCTACCTTTTTTCTTTTCGTATAAAAGTTTTCAAAATGATTTTGTTTCAAATAAATACACCAAAGAGGTCTACCAATAACGGGACACTATAAGTACCCATGAGAATAGATTCCTAGGAAGACTAGTTTTCAAAACAACGAAATAAACTTAAGTTGTAGACAACGAACAGTGATTAATCTAAGAAAAGTTATGGGGTCCCCCTTTGTTCTGTTTTCAAATTTGTATTAATGATTAATGTTGATTATCCTCTTCTACATCAATTGTTTTTATGTTGTTTAGTATAGGCAATAAAAATTCAATTTTAATGTCATGGAATATAATTTTTCATTATAAAAATGACACCTGTTTCTGAAGTATTTCCTTCACAGAAAGGAAATTATGAGGATAGATGGAATTACCACTTGTAAAACATTAAATGAAATTTCCTCTAATATACAGTTAAATTTAATTATTCTCACAAACTGAGATTATGTTGTAACGTTTGTCAGCTAAGACCATTATTTACTGATCGTGTAATTAATCGAAGTCTTTTTTAAATTCTAATTGTTTTGATATTGCCATTATGTGTTAAATGTAATATTTATACCTCCGTCTTTTACTTCTAATTCAATTCCGATAAAATTCCAAGGTGATCTCTCTCATATTTAAAAAAATTATCTGCCATGAAGTAGATCTTTCAGTTTCTGATTGCCAATATCTTTTTTTTTGGAGACGGATATCCAATGGTCTTTTGGAATTCCCATGGGTGCGATTTGCACCCCATTATAAGAAGACCTATTATGAATTTAATCGAAGCAGAATTTGTTAAAAATCTTATACGTGAATAGATGAAAACACTTTCCGTGGCTTTAAGATTTGCATTGAGATATTACGTCGACGTATTGCCAATTAACAATGGGTATTTTTATTCTTATGTCGATACGATAAATCGTGAGCTTGACGTTAAAGATACTACTGATTCTGACAGACCTATTTAATATTTGGATATTTTACTGGAAAAGACGTTAATGGTAATCTCACAAGAAAGCTTTAAGACCAAAATATGATCATTTTAATTTTTCAACACTTCAACTTTGATAACTTCTTTATCACCTGCACCCGATCCCACCTCTGATGTTTCAGAGGTCCGTGGTTGCTCTGCTCCTATTCTGTATTGTTTTATGGACTTTGATATTAAATACTGTTCGTTATCTCCATATCCTTCATTTTTGGGTTTATATATCTCAGATTTGATGTGCAAGAGCATGCTGTACGTATGAACAATGTCTAAAACGAGGTAAGCAATTGACAAATAAGTTGATAAAACCAGAATATCAGAAGTCTCCTTTAAACTCACCATTTCGTAAATTCGATGATTGATATTATACGAAATACTGACTTAATACTCATACTAATTATTTTAGGCAATTCTTCAATCACCAAATCGTAGACAGATTTTTTCTGTAGTTCTCGATCAGGACAAGAGACAAACAGGAGTTGTAACTGATCTGCAAGGGATGCTCAACCTGACATGGCATCTGATCCCACCTCTGATGTTTTAGTGATCAGTGTTTGCTTTACTCCTAAATTGTATTGTGTTATGGACTTATGAGCTTGATTACTGTTTGTTTCCTTCGTATATTTGACAAGGCATGGTAACGGCTAAATGTGACCCCATTTTGGATATAAAAGTAGAACATGGTGATAGGTTGCAGTTATAAATCTTTACTTGTTTTAAAAGCAGCAATAATTTTATAAAAGTAAATAAAATAATACAGTATGTGTGCAAAAGATTAAATCTGTGGGATACCGCAACTAGAATCAAGTTTATCGACCAACTACAAGCGGATTTAGAACTCGTGAATCTGCGGTATCTTACTCTGCTTTGTGTTCAATTGATCTAAATAATTTTCTTTTGGCAAGTTGTGCGTACTCATCATTCAAGGCATTGCAAACAATGACAGTGCTTCGTTATTCGGGTCAATGATGAATCAAAGTTTAATTTTATTTTAATGAGCTTTTTTTCTTTAAAAAATGTATTTATAAAGTAATTAAAAATTATGAAATGTTCATGAAAGTTAAATAATTTATAAAAATAAAGAGAGTTAACTTTTTGTCAATCCCATGATTGTTGCCAGAGAGATCACTGGAAAGTACAAAAAATATATTGCTTTACGAATTTTAATAAAGAAAATAAAAAAAAAGCTTATTTGGGAGGGGATAGTTTGCTCTAGAATTGCAGCTGGTTAATCCTTATGTTGCGGGTACACTGTGCGATTTAGAAACTGGTACTCCGGAGGAGGCGGTATAAACTGAGACCTTGTGTCGCACACGATTCTTGTATTAAAAGATCTTCCTCTGCTCAATGTCATAGGTATTTATGCCAGTTAGCTATCTAGATTTTTAGACTCTACATCTCAATATGAGTGAATAAATTTCAAATCGACATTTAACAAACAAACAACCAAAAATCAATCAGAATTTCAAATGAATATTGTATCAATATATTCTATATTCTAATTAAACACAATTTATCCAAACATATTCATGAGGAAGAAGAAACTCATTTCAACATTTAGATAATGAAGTATTTTCCCCTCATGATATTATTTATCTCTATTTACTGACATATGTATAAGCGGTCACAATTTTTCCGTGGACATTTGTTACACAGACCTAAAGTGCATTTTGTAAAGTAATAGTGCATCAGCACTTTATATATTAATAACGGTTATTTTCATCCGCATTTATTTCATATATAATGTTTCATTAACCCTTATCGTAAACGTGCCGACTACCAATTCAACTTTTTGACAAATTGGACTCTGCCAAAGTGATTTACAATTGTTTATTCACTGACATTCTATTCACTACCATATTGAAATTTATGTAAATAGCGTAATGGGGTATACAGTAACATGTTTTGATTATTATCATTCTTTAAATAATAGTGGGGCAGTGTTTAGAGCGTCTGCTCTAGAGTCGCGAAGTAAGGAGTCAATCCTTACGTCGCGGGTTCGAATACCACTATGGGACGTGGAGACTGGTCCTTTGGATGAGACCGTATAAACCGAGGTCCCGTGTCGCAGTAGGTGCTGGCACGAAAAAGATGCACAATGGGCCTAAGTGCCGAGTATACGACAAAATTTGCAGCTCTCCACCGGCAAGTGAAGGTGTCTCCATATGAATGAAAAAATTCTCGAGAGAAACGTTAAACAATGTTAAATCAATCAATCAATCATAAATCAAATCGGAGCAGACTGCTCACAAATTAGTTGATGCCAAAAGACTTTCAACAATATCGGTTTAAATAAGCATTCTGCATATACTGTGGGTTGTATAATAAGCACGATTGCAAAAAAGTTATTGATAAGTTGCATTCTGAACCATGTGTGTTTCACATCAATTATAATTTCATTGTGTTTATAAGCCCGTCTTAAGACCTGACGTTTTATGGTATGGCGCTCAGGTCTGATGGTTTATCGGTTCGTCTGTACGTGTGTACGTCTGTCCGCTAGAAGCTTTTTCATGTCCGGCTCATAATTTAATCAATGAGGTTTAAAATAAATGACATCCCTCAGCTGAACATTAATATGGGACTATTTGATCTTAAAGATTAGGTAATTTGGATAAATATGAAAAAAATTTGGTAAGCTCACAATTGGACACTACCAGACCGTAATCGGCCAACTTTGAGAATTAATACAGTCCAGGGAGAAGGTGTGCTGATTTTAAGTAAAAGATCAATGCGACATTAAATATAAAGATTTAAAAAGCCGATTTTTCTTTTTATTTGATAAATTCATAACGCTCACGGGTTATTACTGGTAAGCAAAGGATGCTTACTTCTCATAGGCCCCTAATTCTACCTCTGGTGTTTCCTTGAGGCAGCATTGTGTCTTTTTTACATTTTAAATTAAGTAAATATTTTAAAATATATTTCCTAACCATATACATTTTGAATTATTTCATGTCGGCTTAAAGTTTTAAATTATTGTTTCTGTGTCTTTAAATTTTAAATGAATATTTTCCTATCTAAAGTCGTAAGCTGAACTTTGGACAACTTTTGTTTTGGAAAATATGGGAAAAATCAGGGAAGTGTAGTCATATTTCCAGAAAGGTCCTTCTTCATGCCATATTCTTCAGTGAATTATCATATTCATATGCTAAACTATTGTTAAAGCCAATTTCATAACTTTTTAAGAACATAAAAAATTTAGGGCACAATAAAGCTCAAACCGTACTTCTTCTTTGTGAATTAAATATGACTAAAGGATTTTTGAAACGGATTAATAAAGCGTACCAGTCAAAACATACCTTGGCATCCATATCTTTTATCACAGGTTTGATATTCACTACAATTGCACTTTTCTCGACATCCATGACCGTAGTATCCGTATAAACAGCTGTGTTTGCAGTCCTTCCCCCAAGAACCAATACAGGCTATGTTACAAATATACATACTAGTAACTTATTTTCATCAAATATTAGCACGCATATATTATATTGTATAAAAAGTGACTGAAAAAAATTACCCTTACAAACTCCTGAAATATTCATATAATCCTGACAACATTCCACGGGTCCTGTTTTACTGTAAAATAGTTGTTTAAAGTTTTAATCGATGAATATAATTATTTGGTACATGTAATTATTTATTAAGCTAGCATATGTTTTCTTCAAGTATGGTAGAAGTAATTCACAATTAATTATAATTATATAAATAAATCACATAATCAATGATATAGTTACCTTAATATAATATTATATATAATTTATATACATACTTGTTTATACAAACTTTTATGTCAACAGATGATACAATTGAGAAATAAAATACTGCCAACAGCAAACATCTGCAATACATTATTATAGATCGTAATATTTGTCACGAAGTTTTACCTCTAGAATTTATATAAGAACAACTTCCTCCTAGGAAAACACTAAATATAAACATTTTTTTTAAATTACCCTTAAAACGCACAATAAAAAATGATTGCACTCAGAATTATTTTCATTCAAAACAAGCTAAAATGCAACATGTACAATGCACTATTTTCTTATCACCTTAAAAATTGTTTTTACAGAACCACTTGTTTTTTTAAAAAATAATTTTCAAATGAACAATGACAAATGGCATGGAATATTTTCTAGATAAAGGATATGGTGATAACGAGCAGTATTCAATATCAAAATCAATAAAACAATAAAAAATAGGAGCAGAGCAAAAGCGGACCTCCAAAAGATCATCAGAGGTGGGATTAGGTGTCATGGTGGAGCGAGCATCCCCTTCCTTCCAGTCAACCCGCCGTGTGCTCTTTGTCATGATCTGGAAAGAACGTGAAAATCCGTCGTCAATTCAGTATATAAACAATGGACTAACAAATGAAATAAAACGCCAGTCAGCATTTGATTCAATGATAAATTGTATTTTCTGACAAGGTCATTGTATCAACCATAGAACTTAAGAAATGATTACTTTCGTCGAGACTGCTCTTTGGTATCGAATCAACTGAGATATATAAACTACATAATTTGCTTTAAAGTGTGAAAAATTGGAACTTACTTATATAATCCAATAAAAATGTACATGTATTTTGAGACGGTCTTTAAAAAATACCTGGGCGGTAAGTTTTCCCCAAACTTGGCATATACACTGAAGTCAATGTAAGTTATATATATGGTATAAAAATAAAGTTTCTCTATTGTAGTTTTCACATAATAAAAACCCAGTTGGCCCCCTTTAAATATAAACACATCTGATGTTTCGGAGGTCCCTGTTTGCTCTGTTTTGTGTTGTCTTATGGACTTTGATATTGAATACTGTTTGTTATCTCCATATCCTTCTTTTAACCACCGAACATGTATCTCTGCTGGTGGACAGTCTGTCCCCGAGGATACTTGTAGTTCGCCACTTATTCATTCATGAGTACACAGAATAATGATACTGGCAGGCGCGTTGCCAAGTATAACAAGACGTTACTCCCTTGAGTCTTTAAGGGACACAGACTGAATTTCATTTTGTGTCCCTCGGATAATCCTCAGGGATACTAAACATGTGTCATAAGTACAGTCTTCATGTTCCTAGTTTTTGGTATAAAACAAATACATCATATAAAAAATTGAGAGAATGTAAGGTTTCTATTAAAGATATATTCTCAACAAAAAAAAAAAAAAAAAAAAAAAAAAAAAAAAGCAACAAATGCAACTCTGTTTCTGGTATGTCGTAGTTACTCTGTATGCCTACCATCACCGTGTGACCACCGTAAAGGCTTTCGTGCTGTTTCGAGTTCATCCTTGACACATAGGTCTAAATTTACTCAAGAATTTCTACGGCTACAGTAGGGAAAATGTATGGGTATCAAGGACAATCCGTCACTAACCGTAAACCCAGCACATATTGTCTCAGTTGTAGTAAGATAAGGACAAGGAATAAATACAGAGACTCACGAATAATGGCGGCGAATCTTTTTTTCTAACGTTGGAATTACGGCAGCAATGAGGGTTTTAACGGCTTCCTATTTTGTCAAAGTAACATTATACAAGAGGATAAGATAGTTTATGATTTTTCAATTATTTATTACACATATTCACAATATTTGTTTGTCATTGTTATTAGTTCATGACTTGTTTACTTGACCATGAGCACAGGATTTACACATATAGTTGAACAAACAGCAAGCAAGAAAAATATTGTTGTGACACAAACATCTGTACTTATTTTAACCAGGGAAGATGGAAGAAAGAATTTAAAAAAGAAGAAGAAAACAGTTTGTGTATGATGAGTTAAAACTCGTATAACCGTTAGTACTGTTACTTGCATAAGGCGACAACTACAACTCCTTTTTGTATAATATCAGAATTTCTCATGACACAATCTCTCTGATATCTGTTAGATTTGTGAGGTCATCATCCAGAAATAAACCAATGGAAGGCTATTGAAGATGGAACTGGGTTTCCATAGTTGTTAAACCATTATACTGATGACAAACATGAATTACTCACTATAAAATGTAGTAGGAGGGATTCTCACCAACAAATCCAATACCAGCTGATAAAAAAAAACTTTTGTAGTTGCAGATGACCCTATTTTCTTAAAGATCTGAATCAATTTTCCCAAAGCTCACATACCATATGAATTGAAATTTAAACTACTATCTGTTTAGGAAATCTGGTTAACGGATTACAGTGTCGCCTGACTACAGTGCAACCGGTTATACCTCTGTTGGGCTGGCGGTATCTGCCTAGACATTCAAATGAGCCTTTGGTGTCCGAAAGTATAGTGTTTGTCCTTGATGGAAGATCAAATCCATATCATTTCTTGATACTTGAGAGTTTACCAGATTTTGGTAGAGGCGAATGATATTTAGTAGAGGTTACTGCCTTCCGTTGCCAGTAAAATCCGAACAGAGTATATATCAGGGCCCTACTACAGTGTACAACTCAAATACAGAAAGAATACCATATTTTGAATAAATTACTAAAGAACGTTATGTAAATACGTAATTCTTTCTTTGAATAAGAGAATACATTTAAACGATAATTTAAATATAGGATATATATAGAAATATAGTAGAAATTTCCATTACTTTTTAATTTATCTACAAACATGTATTTCTCAAATATAATAGTTATCTGTAAATAAGTCAACTTTTATAAGGATTTTAAAAAAAGATTTTCAAAATAAGAGATGAAATAGTAACCTCTGATTTCCTTATAATTCTTCTTTAAATCTATATTTTTGCTAAATGTTATTGCTGGCGTCCATGAACAGAGAACCTTAATTACGATAACATTTTTCCCAATGTTTTTTACTTGCTTAGACGTAGCACGTCTTCGTCATTCTTAGTATTCTCGTACAAGAATGGGGAGGCGTTGTAGCATTTTCTTAACTGGCCGTAACCGTAGCTTGGTAATCACTGGTGAGACTGTCGCATTATAAGTTATCACTACGGGATACCGTGCTTGTCCGTTAAAGTGTCCGTGGTGTTAACAAGTTTATCTTTTAAAAAGATAGGTGAGCTAGCGCCGTAGCATTTTTTTAAATACAGAAAGGAAGATCCGTGATCAAGTGATTTATTTTGCTGAATTCTTTAATTTTTATCAAGGCTGGAGAGTGATGAAGTTATTATTGTTCTGTGGGGCGTATTTTATAGACACAAAGGTTAAGAAATAAAAGGGGGTGACCTATTGGAGTTTTGGCGCAACGGAACATATATGACCTTTACTGGAGAAGGGGGGGGGGGCTCTATATAATATGAAGAAGATGCCGATTGAGACATTGCATGTATGAGCTGATTTAAAGAAGAGAATTTCTTGGCAATGTAGCAAAGAAAATACATGGGAGCTGAAAGGAATATAGAAAATAACTCAAAGTGTATGTCGTGTAAAGAGTCCAGAGAGTTTGGAACGCATGTGAAGTAGCTTAATTGGTCCTTTGGGTCATCTTTGTCAAGATATGTTAGGTTAAAAGCCATACACATAAGAATTTTTTAAACAGAAAGAGTGGATTTATTCGTTATCTTTAGTGTAAATTTTTGCTTCTGTTTCTGGAATTTGTAAGATTGGCTGAATTGACCAATCAGAAATTAGAATCTATCTTTGATTGTGCTTAGATTTAAAAAAAGAAAAGAAAAAAAAACCTTCCTTGTCATTGTTTAGAACAATCAGATAATGATTCGGGCTTTTCCGTCAGCAAAAAACCCCCAGAATTTGAAATATTATAAATATGAAGTTATCTTTAAAGTGTAAGCTACACAATAAATAAACAGTTATTTCATGCTACAACACGATACAACGAAATTGTTATCGTACGGTCTATCTGTAGTAGTTTTTCACAGTTTTTAGTCTCGTTTACCCCAGACTCTCGCTCTCGAGACTTTGCCCGAGCGAGCAAAGTCTCGAGAGCGAGAGTCTGGGGTAAACGAGACTACACAGTTTTCCCAGAATGCACGACCATGGCGGCCGAGCATGCGTATTCAAGGAATTTGGACTAACGTAGTTGCTAGCGCTCGAGAGCGCTAGCAAAAACATGGTCCTTAATGGAACCGTGTTCAAACCTTGATGAACCGTTAAATAATCTTGAAACAACCGTATCGTTTGTTTTTCGCGCCAAAAACCGTATTAGCGTTTCGATTTTTTATACAGTTTATTAAATCGGGGTGAACCGTTGCAATCTGTGCCTATTACAGTTAACTTATGACCTAGGCTTAACCGCTACAAAGCCGATTGATGTACACCAAATGCGTTACGTAGCTCCGGCTAACCCGGTTGCGTTCATCTTTATTTATTGCAGCGACAACATTGCAATCAAATCTTCAATATGGGTTTAAGAGGAAGGTGTTTTTTTTTTATAATATTATCTATGGAATAGAATGTAATCTGTGTGGACTCGTATATGTCTGTGAAACCAAGGGATCACTCAATAAAAGAATATCAGGTCATCGATTTCAAATAAATCATGGTGATGAGCAGCTTTTATACAAACATTTTATTTTATCTGATCATTCTATATTGTCAATGAAAGTTAGAATTATCGAAAAGATTTTTCATCACACAAACAGTCCATCACTGAGTACACCTTTCCGTA